GATTAAAACAACAATATTAGGGTTAAAACCCTAAACTTGTGGCTATCAAGGGTAAATCTATAAAACCACCTGAACCTTGAGCTACTTTATGTTCTCATAGCTTTATATAGTCAATATATACTTGCACACATAATATTCTCAATTTCCTCAACAAGATTAAAACATTGCAACTCAAAATCAGTGACAAAACAGCTCACTCAGGTTCAATTTTGAAGTTTCTATGATGCCACTGTTCTGAGAGTATAATGGGTATTTTGAACTGTTACAGACCTAGAACATACTTTCACATTCTCAATTCATCTTCACACAAGAATCCAGATATTAAGCTTTTCAAAATGTATTTCAAAAATAGTTCCAAAAACTGCTCACAACAAGTTTCTGTAGAACTAGATAGCTGAGGGTAAAATTATAACTTCGGGGTTGCACAGACCTTGATTCAATTTTTTAAACTTGAATCTCAAAAACAAACTTGCTCAGATCATGTTCAGTGCTCATACAACAGATTATATCATAGTTGTTTCAATATAGCAGTTTCAGCTCAAAACACTAGCTTCAAGGGTTTGACAGTTCAATATGTGCAAGGCCTATTTTCTGAGATGAGCCTTAGATTATACATCTTTGATTTAGCATTATAAGCATGATAAAATGATATTGAACCATATAAAATCAAGATGTAACACAGAAAAGCCCTACACAGTAGCTATGCACCAGAAAATCAATTAAAATGCAGGTTTGAGTTGTGAGAAATGATACCAGCCTAAGTAAGATTATGTAAGCCCCTTTTGCAAATGTAAAACCACAAAACAAGTTTGCTTGGGTCTTGTTCAAACCCCAGACACCACCATAACTATATTTCACTTTCTGCAGCCACTCATTTGCACCAAAAAACTACTGCATGTTGTATCTGCTGATTTTGCACCTTTTACATGTTGTTTCTAGATATCAAATGTTGCTTAAAACATCTCTAAATCCCTCTGAAATCTCAATATGCTTTAAGCTCTCGAGACCACCTTCATTTTCAGCTCAAAAGGTTCATTTTAGGCTCTCACAAAGGCACACACTATTGCTGCAACTATAACAACATATATATACTTGGAATTTGCTACCCTAGTGTGGATAAATATATTCCACCACTAGCCAATCATAGATATGGATCAATCCTGACAGTACTTACTGTGAATGGACTGAAATGCCCTTTGTACAGCCCTAGATTGACATTGAAAAACACCTTTTCTACAACCCTTGAATGTCTTTGTACAATGCTGATACATAAGGCTAATAGCTATATTTTTGTGCTTATCCTCTCTTACTAGGACCACTGTGCACATGGCATACTGTAGAGAGTCCTTCATTATACAATAGAAATGCCACAAATGCCCTTACATCGGTCTTGTAATTATTGTCACACATATGTGTGTGTGAATATAAAATTGAATGTGATTATTGTAGTGTCACAAATCAATGAGGATTTGTGATATATTAACACACATAGTGTAAAGACCAAAATACCCCTGTAGCAGATACCAATATGTAGATGTATAGCCATGAACACTTTTGACTTGCATATGACATTAATAGAGCAAACCTCAACCAACAACTCCAATTTCAGAACTTCTTCAGTAGATAAAACTTTCTTAGGCTGAAAACCTGAAGGTTTGGTAGTCTTCCTAGTATATAAATCTTTATAGAACTCAACTAACCATTCTTTCATAACCTTTGAATCCTTTGACATCTCCCCAGTTACATTCTTCAATTGCATAATAGAATTATAAGCTCTTTTTTGTTTAACCTTATGATGAAAAAAGGAAGTATACTTATCCCCTTTATCAAGCCATCTAACTCTAGATTTTTGAACCCAGACAATCTCTTCCAGTTCCAACAAATTCTTAACTTTGTCAACCGCCTCCATCTCCTTTTGAATAACAAGATCATCACAATGACTTTTCAACAAATCCACTTGGGTTTGCAGCATTTCTTCTCTAGCCCTTTATAATTGCTCTGATATTATACCTTTTTCTCTGTTCCAGTTCTTCACAACACCTTTAACCTCTCTTAATTTTTGCATTAACTGATGCATAGGAGAACCAGAAGTATTTACAGCTAGCCCAAGCCTTATGAATAATCTCCTGAACCTCTTCACGCATGCTACAGATTTTTAAGAACTTAAATGGCTTCGGCGCTTCTGAGCTGGAAGAATGCCATTTAACTGTTAGACCATAATGGTTAGATAAAGATACGCAGTGAAATATAATTTAGTATCAGTGAAATTAACAAGCTAGTCCAAATTGACCAATGCTCTGTCTAATTTGGCAATAATTCTTCTCTCCCTCCCTTGCTTGGTAGTCCAAGACTAGTTCCTATTATAAACAGGTAAATCCTCTAGATTGGCAGCTTGAACAGCTTCATTAAACTCTTCAAGAATCCTTTGAGGAACCTGCAAACCTCATTTCTTCTCGCTATGATATCTCACAACATTCCAATCTCCAATCGCTAACCAAGGGCTATCAGCCAAAATAGAATGACTTTGAAGAATTTTCTAAAGATTCTTCCTCTTATTCACAGTATTTGCAGCATATACCATGCAGAAACAAACACAGTCACTCCAGTTTCTTTAAGCTTCACCTTAATCAACATAGTTTGAGTACTAACATGCACTAAAGAAACATAAAAATAGCATTATTCCAACCAATCCATAATTTTCCAAGAGGGTTACAATTATAATTAGACAACCAAAGCCAATTTTTGCAAATTTTGCTTTGAATTTTTTCAGCTTTCCTCTCTCTGACTCGAGTTTCAACTAAAACAATAAGAGCAAATTTATTCTCAGTTATCCAACTCTTAACTTCTCTTTGCATACAAGGCCTATTCAGGCCTCTAACATTCCAGTTGCCTAACATCAACAACTAGCTCTTGGTGGAATACTACCACCATTTCCTTTACCTCTAGGCACCCAATCTGAAAGAGGGAAATTCTATTTCTTCTTTTGCTATTTCCCATTAGGATCCACAACATCCAAATTTGACTGAGCTCCCACCCCCAAGACTATGTCCTTACTACTAGTCTCCCTTTGGTCTTCTTTTCCCTATTATCCTCTTCCTTGGGTAAAATAACTAAATAACTATTTTACCCCTAGTGAGCCCTCGGTTTTGGATAAGGATCCGAACTTGCTTTCTTCACTCGTTAATGACTCGGATCTTCCGAGGTTGGGTTGTTACAGGTTGCCACCTCCACTAGTAGCACACCACCATAATGACCATCACCATGGTGCCTTATGTCAAAGGCCAAACACGTCCACTGGCTGCACACCACCAGAACCACCATCACATTGGTATCCCGTATATATGCAACACCAAACACAACCACTCCAAAGCATGCCAGTGAACTCTCCTCCATCAAAAATCAATTAGACACCCTAATTACCTAAAAAAAATCTCAATACAATCTACACCCACCAAAACATGTGATTCATCATCTTCAACCTTTATTCTCTCTGTAATCCATTGAAGAACTCCCACCAAAGCAAAACACCCTGAATCAATGATCGTCAATTCCCTTGAATCGTTAATCAACGATTTGCAAATTATGAAACACCAAAGTGGCCAGCAATCGAAGCCCTAAGTTGCTAACATCAAACACCAAAACCCTAAATAGCCACTACAACCTTCTCTGTTGCCATCAACAACACCAATGCTCACCAACTAATTGCCTGTATGCCTAATTTTGAGGGTGTCGATTGGGAATATGGTCATGTGTTCGGCAGATTCTACGCTAACAGTGAGCTCTCCAAGCCAACATTAATCTTTAGGCTCAGACTATAAGTGGAAATCAGAATACTTGTCAGATCGGAGCAATCATCGTTCCTCCTCTCTATGTGTATCACCTCTCGTCCTCGCAAATCCCCCAAGCTCCATTGCCCCATTTGTCATTTTTTAGCAGTACTTTTGATATACACACACACACACACACAATTGGTTGTTACCCTTGTTGGACTCTTCTAGATCAGGTAGAGTGGAATCGGCGATGAGTGACGACGTATCGACGAAGAAGTTGCGTGAACCAAGACGTAATTGGTATACAGCGGTTGAGAATTGGCAATTGGGTTTTGATGTTGTAATGAGTGGACGAGCAAAATAAAGAAAAAGGTGGGTGGTGGCGATGGTGGTTTGTAGTTGTGGGGTTAGTGGTGGCGGTGGCAGAGGTGGGTTGTGGTGGCGATGATAGGATGGAGAAAATAAAGAGGTCTAATAGAGAGGGTGTGTAGGTTGGTGAGTTAATTTTGTTTTTCCCTCGAAGAGGGACATTTTGATCATTTAAAGATTTTAATATTTTAGATCAAATATGAATATTGAAGAGTAATGTAGACATTTCCTTCTTTTTTAGGCTTTGTTTGGATGTAAAATTTGACGAGGGATGTCATTGTCCTAAAAAGGACTACATTTTATCTAATTGTCAATAGAGCAATCTTATTGACTGAAATTAACCCTAAATAAAATTTGAAATTTTTACATGCATATGTTTGTTAGTTGGGCTTTAAATTGGAGATTTGGTTCAAATTTGTTTTATTTTAATATTTTTGTTTTTTTTTTTTTTTTGTCTCTCTTGTGCATTAAAATCATCCATGTGAAAAGAAATAAATATCTTATATTTCAAATTGACCGACTCTTTTTAGGTCAGAGGTTGCAGATTAAAAAAAGGAAAAAGAAAGAAATTTTTTTTTAATTGATTCTTTTGCTGTCATTTCTTTAATTAATTGTTATATTATTCAATTTATTCCTAAAAAAGCTAAAAGAATACAGCTCCTTAAAAATACTCATAGTTAAAGTAAGGATTAGGTAGGACCACTTTTGACCGTAGAATTATACTCTACTCGCTCTACATTACAGATCTCTCGCTGATCAAAACTGAAAGTGAGTGACCGCGCAACCATATTCGGTGACCAAACTGTGGGACCCACTGTATATCCCCATTCTTAAAGCAGACCTCAGCGCCACCGTCGACCTTTGTGCAACAGCTCTCCTCTTCTTCCTCGGTCATATCTACTACATTTTCTCTCTCTAAACACTCTCCTCTTTTTCTCTCTAGATATTACCTACTATTATCTGCTTCTCTCTCCATATCTATTAGTATTATCTACTACTTTCTCTCTCCATAGCTACTACGTATTCTCTGTTCAACACTCTTCACTCTCTCTCAATATATATATATATATATAGAACCTTTTTCTAATGAAGTCTTGTAGAACAATGCCAATCAGATTAAAATGTGGATTTTAGAGTTCAAAGTGTCTCTGATTCACATCTACACGATCATTTTGAATCTCAATATTCACTCATCAGCAATTCCTCTGTGAATCTTTGAAGCTTCTTCGATCAATCAATTGTCACACTTACTCAGCTTGTACGTTTTCTTTCTTCAATCTTTCGTGTTCTTTAACAAATCTGAAGCTCAATATATATTTATATATATATATGTATCTGTGTGTGTTTATACAGTGTATTCTTTTAGTTGAGCTCGGATTCACTGTAACTAGAGGACACGGCGAGTAGTGGCTTGAGTGGGGAAAGTACAGTTACGGAGATTGAAATGAAACCCTAATTTCTCAATTATTTTGCTTAGTTAGAGTTATAAACCCTAATTTATTATGAAAATGTAGCCTTCCAAAATCCTGAATTAAGGAGAATCGAATGAATAGGCGTTGGAAGAGCATTTTTGTTTACTGCTCGAAGCAACCATTTTTTTGCTTTGGACCTATGAATTTTGTTTTATTTAGCTTTTTTGAATTTTTTTTTTTTTCCCTAAAATTTTTATTGAAAATAAATTAGAGAGTTAAATTTTTTGATTTAGTTATAAACAGATACAGTCATTATTATTTATCACTGGTATTTTTCTTTCCACTTTTATTCATTCATTCGTTTATTTATTTCTTATGATCTTAATTGCACTTAAATCTTTTTACTCAAGTGCATTTTTTTGTCTGAATTATTTATTTTTATTACTATATATTTATGATTTATGGATAGAGGCACAACTAAATCGACGTTGCAGGTGATAGATGTCATCAGTCGTCATATATCATGTCTGGACAATCGACACCGAGTAGGTGGGTGGGGTCGGTGTATACGATACGTTAAAGTCTCCTTCACACACGTCAGTTTTTAACCGATACTAGTTTGTATATAAACGCTCCTTCAAATTTCAAACATCAGACATGTCTTTGAAGCAAAGATTTTTTTCTGACCGTTGGCTTGTCGACTTTTCAAAATTACGAATACTTTCCTTTTTCACGCATATATACGGGCAATGATTAGCAACGTATACAATCTAATAATGTATATTATTAAAAACAATCATATATATATATATATATATGTATGAATGTATGTACTGCTTATGTACTACTTAATTGGGTTTTAATTATTAATTTGTGTCGGTTAATAGCTAATTGATTGTTGGTGGGTCTCTTTCGGGTGGCTGTTTTCAGTGGCTTTAGTTGATTGATCTTTGTATATTCTAGCAATCTCTTCTATTTTGAATACTTAATTGGGAAAACACAACTCTCTCTCTGTCTTATCTGCTGTCAGATTTCTGTTTTGCATTACCCTTGTCACCAATCATCTATCAACTGTGATGGATTACCGAAGCTTGAATGCTCAGATTTCTGGGTGTGCTTTTGCTTTCACCTGAAATCTCATGTTTAGAATCTGAAAGAAAAGTTTTTTTTGGGGATAAGGTTGGTCTGCCCTATATAATTTTTAAGTATTCGTTAGCTAATTCTAAATTGGGTTGCCAAATCAGTGTAGTTTCTAATACAATTTCATGGGTGGTGCTGGTTTGCTTCTCTGTTTATTCATTGAGCTGAAAAAGTTGGTTTCACTGCTTTTTTAGGGTTTCAATAATGAAATAGTTTTCTTCATCCTGAAAAAAGTTGATTCTGGACAAGAAGTCTGGTTTAAAGTTTGAGCCGTTCAAGAAAGGACTTTTAAGAGACTGACCAGCCATCTTTATTATTTGATGTAACTATACTGACAAAATTTTCTGTGACTGGTGGGGGTTACTTGTTTCTTTTGCATTTAAGCCTGTTAGTTGTGTATCATTATCTCGTAGGTTGTAGTTACTTTGTACTGTAGATGGCTAATTATTTTGCTTGAAAGACATTAGTTAGATTGAAACCCTAATTTAATCACATTATAATAACAATAAGACAAAAAAACCACCTTTGTCCACAGTAGTATTGCTCTGAAAATGTAGGATGAGACGAATAAACTTACAGAGCTTTGTTGGCCAACCATGTGTTTTGTAGTTCCTACCTATTATATCCTAATTCAATTTACGAACTTCATCAATTTCTCTATGTTAGTGCTCAAAATGTATGTGTTTGTGTTGAAAATTTTCTTTGTGCCTTGCAGATAATCTAGGTCTGAAAAGTGAGGCAACAGCTGAATCCAAACCAAATGCGATCCATAAACAACAGCATGTCTTAAATTTAAATGCAATCTCTAGTTTTATAGAGTCTGAATTGATGTTCAGCTTATCTTGCTATGTACTGTAATTTTTTAGTTTTAGATGATTGGAAAATGCTTCTTTTGGAGAGAGTTTTTAATTTTTTATTTTTCTTGTGAATACCTTTAAAATCTCTCTGTATTTCAAACTACCCTGGATATCCATTTGATTCTTGAAATATATAATGAGTTGTTACTGGTTTTGTGCAGATTGAGGAATTTAAGATCACAGGCATCCTATGAGTAAAACCTCTTGTTCCTGATGAAGGTTGATATTCTTTTGTTCTGTTTCATTATTGTGTTACTTTGACCTTTTGGCTTTTTTAACAGAAACGAGAAGATTATTAGTTATTTCTATTGGTGTGAGGTTGTGTCCTTTATCCCTGAGAAATTTGTCAAAATTTCTTTCTGTAGTGCTTCGTGGTTCAAAATCATCTACCTTAAAACTTATAGGGTTCACATTTTAAAATGACCAAAATGGATTTTATATGTAATTTCTTTTCTAGGTGTGTACTAAATGAAGGTGAAGGTGTGCTCTCTTTCCTTCAGCAAGACTTCTCTACTTTTTTGGTTATCAACTACTTATACAAGGCACAGTGTGAGATGGCTTGAAAAACTGCATCTGTGTGAAAAGCTTAAAAATGGAAAGCTTCAGTAGTTCAGCTTGTGAATTACTAGAACTTTTTCTTGGATCCATTTGACTTCAGTTAGATAGAACTAGTTCCTTACGTAATGCACATAATATTGTTATTGTTCTGAAGTAAAAATTAAGTATGACTGGCTTCTTTTGCTTTCAGGTCAGTATTTCGGCTAGAATAAATGAAGTTCCAAGTGGAAGTTGCTTTTGCTTGCCTTGTTAGCTTGATATGGATTCGACAAATTCTTTGTGGTTAGTATCAACCATGTCCTGAATTCCTTTAATAACTTGAAGATTAAGATATCTATGCTAGTATACTATATGGATAAACATTTGGCATCCATCTCTGCGTGTGAAATGTGTGGGTATATTATGTATAATATATATATAGAGAGAGAGAGACTAAAAATGGTGTTTCTTTGTGTGTATTTGTTAAAAACCCTATGTAGCTCTGTGTGTAATTTGAAAAAAAAGTGTATTATTTTAAAGAAGCATAAATTTATGGCTTTTTTGTGGCAGATGATATTTCTGATACCTCTCAGCTGAACAAATGGGCATGTACATGTTCTTCTGCATATCAAGGGAACCAAAGCTTTGCTGTTGGAACCAACTGCTCTACATCCTGTGATTGCAGTCCTGGTATGCATCTTATTTATTGCTGTACTTAAGCCAGCACTTCATACTGCTATTAATGAGGTTTGCTGCTGCTAAGCAATTAACTCAACATACTTGCAATTCTTAACAATTTTGAAGCTCAAAAATTTCAGCTCTATGAAATGTCATTCAATTTAAACACAACCAATAATCCTCCGAGAAAAGTATCAGCCAGGCAGCTACAGCTTGACAACCTAAGATGGAAATGAATAAAACAGATGCATTAGATTATAGTTATGCACCTTATTACTTGGTTCTCAAGCATGAAACTGCTTGTCTGAGTATCAGGCTTCCACAATTTGAGTATAAGGGAATGAAGTTTGAGGCTGGTAACTTGTGCACCCATCTCAGCACCACAAGTTGACATAACCAGTCAAAGTATATATATATATTTTTATTATTATTATTTTTTCAATCTAGTTATCTGTTTTCAATTTCCACCTTGATGTGTTCGGGTCATTTTTAATTTCTGCAACAAATAAAAAATTCTTTGTACAATATCTGTAAAACTAAATTGCACAATCCAATATTTTATATAGTACTAGTAAATAAGAAAAATTCAAAATAGTATACTAAATTGCTAATTACTAGTTGGTAAATGATCGAAATAAAATATACATAATATAGTAATTAGTCATTAGTTACTATACTAAATAGATTAGTATATTAATGAGTTCACCAAGTAAATACATCATCTTAAACTACTTAGTAAATTGAAAAAAAAAAATTACTAATTACTAAACTAAATAAATATATTAAACTAAAAATATACTAATTGGTAATTAAACTATTTAGATCAGTAATATGGCATGATAATTAGTATATTATTGCACTCAGTATTTCAGTTTACTCTTAGTAAACTGAAATACTGAGTGCAATATATTACACTAGTGAGTAAATTACATACATCAAACAATACAATATATCCAACCAAACCTTCCATACAAACTCTATGTTTTAATGAATAATAGAAAATAAAAATAAATTAGTGAATAAATCATAAAAATAAGAAATTAATAAAAATTAGAATAAAAAGAAACAAGAGAAAATTAAGAATCACAACACCTAAAGCATGCATATGACAAATATATATATATATATATATATATATATATATATATATATATATATATATATCATTTACAAACTTTTGTGAAGGAAAAAAATTACATCTTTTAAGAAAATACCCTCCAAAAAATAAAAAAATAGTATATCTAAAGCTAAGAAGCAAAATTTAGGGGGAAAAAAAGAAGCAGCTAAGAAACAATCTCCAGAACAAAAGTTTTAGATCTACTATAAAACACCAATTTTAACTTGTTGCTAAGAGAAAAAAAAATGAAAAAATAAAAACAAAAATTGTTCGGAAGTTCAAACTTGAATCTAGGAGCTTAGATCTGACGGGTTTTGAGTTTTAGAAGTAAATCTGTGATTTGGGAGGTTGTAGGAAGGGTTTCAGCTTTCTGAAGTGAGAAAATAGGAGAAAAGAGTGAGACTAATGGAAGAAACAAATTGACATATAGTCACACCGGTCCATGAACTTATAATAGTGGTTCCCGGCTGTAATCTCCATTATAATGGCGTTACAGCCATTATGACCCCATAAACCAGAGGCTCACCTTTGTTATTTTTCTTTTCACTAATAAATTGTTGGGACTTGGTATCAACTCAAGCTGAGTCTTTGCAACTTTCCCAGGTCTCAAATACTCGCCAAGTCCTAGAACCATGCGTCAAACTTATACCTTGCTCTGCCATGGCTCTTGAATTATTGTTATCAGTGTTACTTCAATTCACATATAGACAAGTGTGCTGGGATGTATTTTACCCCAATAGTTTGAATGTACTTGATCTCAAGGATAGATAATATGTTTTTTCAGCAACAATCAGATTTGTTTCCATTTGACACAATTAATCAAGCATCAATTCATCTGGTGATGGAAGTATTTAACTTGCAAAAAATGAGCTTGGAAGCATCAATATTTATCGCAATCATAGAGAGAGAGTCTGCAACAGATAGATTTAGGAATCCTGTGGTGTTAGAATTCTGACAAATGCATGACTTTTCCCCTATACAGCTTATCTTTTCTTACATATTTGGGAGAAATTTATCGGTTCATATGATATGGTGATGGGAAAGTGCCTTTATTCATAAAGTTTGATTCACTTACTGAATTTGCCTTTTATTCAGCTGCAGGAGGATCGGCTGAAAATGGATGGACATGCATATGTGCTGCTGGTGGATTCCCTGAAGTAGCTGCCAACAATCATGGCACCAGCTGTTTTACAGCCTGCAATTGCACTTCTGGTACCTTGCATTAATGCCTCATGGAAGTGTTATTGTTGAACAGTTTTAGTACTTTAGTTATCTCTGTGATGATAATAAATATGTTCTCTAAAATGAATCTAAGAGATATAGAACCATAACCCTAGGCTCTGATGTAGGTTTCACAACACTTACAATCCAGACCTAGAGGTGGGGGATGAATGGGTCATTTTTTATTGAATCTTAACTAAATTAATGGTGATTCAAGCATATAAATGAATCCATTCATCGTGATTGTAAATCATATATAAACTGTAAAGTAGAGTAAATTCAACCTCACAATTAGCAGAAGATATTTTACATGGAAACCCCAAAGGAAAAAACCACAGGACCCTAGTCCAGTCAGATCAAATTCACTAACAAGAAAGACTCTACAACTAGATTAACAGTCACCCAAACCCTAAAAAACCCCTAAATTACCTCCTAACATACACTGACTCCAAATTCTCCACTCTAGTTTTCACACTGTCCATTATGTCAACAGATCTGCTTTTCCACCAGCACTTTGATGTCCATGATCAATTGTCCGGGCAGAGTTTTTGTTGTGGGGAACTCTTGGTGTTAAAATATTTGTAGGTTCATCATAAGTTGATGATCAACACCTAAAACACATACTCACCAATCTAAATCTAACGATGACCATGAAAGAAACAAAGTTCTAGCAGGAATTGCTAGGATGCACTCAAAACTGTACATGAAGTATGTTGACTTTAAGAGATAATCAAATCAAAAAGTAAAGTATAAGAGGAAGAAAAAGAGAAGAAAGAGGATAAGAGAAAAAGAGAGAGATAGGGAAAGAGAGAAAGAATGAAAGAATTTCATCCTTTCACCACATTATATTTATAATAATAAGTTTAAAAAATTATACATAAGCCCTAACATTATATAAGTAATAACAAAAAAGCCCCTGACAACACTCCCCTCAAGCTGGTGCAAAAATATCTATCATACCCAACTTGACTAACATATTTTGCAAGAAAGTCTTGCTCAAACCCTTAGTCAAAACATCAGCAATTAATCATGTGTGTTGATGTATAGAGTACAAATCAGCCCAATACGAAGCTTTTCCTTGATGAAGTGCCGATCGACTTCAATGTGTTTTGTTCTGTCATGTTGAACTGGATTATGGGCAATGCTAATAACAATCTTCTTGTCACAATACAACTTCATTGACTTGCGAATAGGATAACCCAACTCACCCAACATCGTTCGTAGCCATAACAACTCACAAACTCCATGTGCCATGGATCTGAACTCAGCCTCTGCATTAGATCTAGCTACTATAGACTGTTTCTTACTTCGCCATGAAACAAGATTACCTCCAACAAATGTGCAATATCCTTAAGTAGACCGCCGATCTGTCATAGACCCTGCCCAATCAACATCAGTATAGGCTTCAACACGCAAGTGGCCATGATGGCCAAACAATATCCCTTTACTAGGTGAACCCTTGAGGTAGTGAAGAACTGATGAGCTGCCTTAAGTTAAGGTGTACGTGGAGCATGCATAACTTGACTAATCACACTAAAAGCGTAGGCAATATCTGGGTGCGTGAGAGATAGGTAAATTAGTCTCCCAACCAATCGCTGAAATCTCCCCACATCGTCTAATGGGTCTCCATCTACCTCATTAAGCCTATGGTTCTACTCAATGGGAATATCAATAGGTCTATTTCCAAGCCTACGTTTTTTAGCCAACAAATCTAACATATACATCCGTTGAGAAATGAACACCACTTTCTTCGATCTTCACACCTCGATGCTAAGAAAGTATCTCAATGATCCGAGGTCTTTAACCTCGAACTCTGTTCCCAAGAATGACTTCATTCGATGTATCTCTTCTGGATCATTTCCAGTGATAACAATATCATCAACATATACAATAAGGGCAGTGAAGCAGCCCTAGTGCTTCTTGATGAAGAGAGTATAATCTGCCCGACTCTGTGTGTACCCTACTCTTTTCACAACAGTGCTGAACCTCTCAAACCAAGCACGTGGCGACTGCTTTAACCCATACAAGGCTTTATTTAGCTTGCACACTAAATTCTGACCATTAGCAAGCTTAAACCCTGGTGGCATAGTCATATAGACCTCTTCCTCCAAGTCACCATGAAGGAAAGCATTCTTTACATCCAACTGATGTAAAGGCCATTTCAAATTAGCTGCCAAAGAAAGAAGGACACGTATAGAGTTCATCTTGGCAACTAGAGCAAATGTTTCCAAACAATCAATCCCATAGGTCTGAGTAAAGCCTTTTGCAACTAACCGGGCTTTATATCTTTCAATTGTTCCGTCTGTATGATACTTTATTGTGTAGACCCATTTGCAGCCTACTGGTTTCTTACCCTTAGGTAATGGAACAATAACCCAAGTACCATTCTTCTCAAGGGCCTTCATCTCTTCAAGCATGGCTTCCTTCCATGGAGTTTGACTGAGAGCATCTGAAACACTAGAAGGAACAGATACAGAGGAGATACACGAAGTGAAAGCACAATATGTTGGAGATAAGGCATCATAGGATACAAATTGAGATATAGGATGTTTTGCACAACTACGAACACCCTTACGATAGGCAATAGGGACATCAAGATCAACATGAATACTATTGGGAAGAGAATCAGGAGTATCAATGTCAACTGAGGAATTACCTACCTTGATCAAGGGAGACTTCTTGGTTCTAAAGTGAGTCAATGACTTGTTTTGCCCTCCTAGTGTAGACAATTGGCTGCTTTCCTTGCTGCAAATCATTAATGGTAGGAGGACCAGACATAGGCACCTTAGTAAGAAGCTCCCCCTGAATGGGAATAGGGAAAGGAATGGGGCATTCCCTCTGAATGGACGACGGATTATTTACCTGTATAGTAGTCTCCCCCTGTAGAGAATCCCGAACAGTGGGAAAAAAAGGAACAAACTCAAAGAATGTAACATCCATGGAGACAAAGTGACGACGAGTGGTAGGGTTATAACACAGATACCCTTTCTGAGTGGCGGAATATCCAAGAAAGACACATTGGATTGCCTTAGGGTCCATTTTGTCCTTGCGATGATGAATGTGAACATAACAAACACAAACAAACACTTTCAGAGGGACAGTGAACAAGGCAGTGTGATGGTGTAAGATAGAGAAGGGGGACTGATAGCCAATAATCTTAGAAGGCATGCGATTGATAAGGTATGTAGCTGATAAGGTTGCATCAGCACAATAACTTTTAGGCACTCCCATCCCAATTAGAAGAGAACGGGTCACCTCTATAATATGACGGTGTTTTCTTTCAGCTACACCGTTTTGTTATGGTGTCTCGACATAGGAGGTCTGATGGACAATCCCGTTATCAGCAAAAAAGGAGGCAAGACCACCATATATAAACTCTCCTCCATTATCAGATCGAAGGATTTTGAGGAGACAACCAAATTGAGTACATATCATCCTATGAAAGGTTTTAAAAATGGAATGAACTTTATCTTTGATTTTCATAAGATAGAGCCAAGTATATCGACTAAAGTCATCAACAAATACAACAAAGGAACGAAAACCAAGTAACGAAGTAGTAGATTCAGGACCCCACACATCAGAATGAACAAGCTGCAAAGGAGCTGTACTTTTATTAATACTAGTAGGATAAGAAACACAACATTGTTTGGCAAGAATGCATGTTTCACAATTTGACTTAAAAGATTTAACAGAAGCAAACTGGGGAAGCACATGCTTTAAAACAGGAAATGGTAACTGACCTAGTCTATTATGCCATCGCATTAACAGATCTTTATTGACATTACTATTCCTAACACTAGATTGATTTGCAACATAATAAGACGTTGGCCTCACGTTCAGCAAATACAAGCCATTGTCCTCACATCCACTTCCAATCGTCTTCCCCGTATCCAAGTCCTGAAACACACAGTGAGATGGAAAAAAGGTTACACTACAATTCAAGCCTTTTGTAATGTGATTGACGAAAAGGAGGTTATTGGTAAACTTTGGGACATGAAGAACAGAGGATAAGGTAAGATTAGGAGAGGCAAAAACAGTGCCCTTCCCCGCAATGGAGGTGAAGGTGCCATCAACCACTCTACCTTATCCTTACCAAAACATAAACTGTACAAAGAAAAATCAGATGCCATACCAGTCATGTGATCAGTAGCTCCTGAATCAATGATCCAAGGTGGCCCATCAAATAATGTGGAAACCTGATGTGCCGAATGAGAGATACCTGTCTGACCGAAGTTAGAGGTGGAAATGGAGGCATTTTGAGCTAGTAGATGTCGAAGAGTATCAAGTTCAGCCCCGGACAAAGAACTCGGTGGATTTGAGGAGACATAACCAGTAGAAGTAGTCTCACGCTCTGTAGTATGTGCCGTAGATAACCCCCTAAATGGACCAGGCCTTGGCCTAGCATTCACACGTGCAGGAACTGGAGTAAGGCGACCGTGTAGATTCCAGCATGTTTCCCTAGTGGCGCGTGCACCCACAGTGATCACACCTCAACTTGCTCTTGTCATCCTGCTTCCCTCCTTTTGAAGGATTGGACTTGTTCCATTATTGTGCGGCAAGAGCAGGCCTCTTAGACAATGGTACTTCTAACTCAGGCTTAATGTATACAGGTGCAGACATAGCCTTCATTCTACTATCCTCAGCCAGGATATACGAAAACACATCTCTAACAGAAGTAGGGGCTGGATACCTACCTAACACTTGTACCCTGGTATGCTCGTATCTCGGATGCAGACCACCCAAGAACTCATAGATTCAATTCCTTTCTACAATAACACGAAATGCTTAACATTAGTTGCACACACAGGTATATAGTCTTGGTAGTGATCTAACTCTTCCCATTTACCACGTAGAGTGTGGTAAAATGTAGCAAGAGTTTGGTCTTCCTGCTTGAATCTTGATATTTGTTGTAGGAGTTCATACAGTTTTGCAAAATTACCAACCGAGGAATACATCTCTTTTTTAGCCTGCCATAGTTCGTATCTCAGATG